CCAGCTTCTTCCTAGTTTAGTCTCCTCTCCAATGCTCTTCTCATCCCTCCTATTTCTAAGAATACTTTTAGCCAGATCTTTTCTACCATTCCAGGACTTCTTGTGCCCTTTTCACCTTGAAATTATCAAGGCCTATGATGTGCCTGGCACATGGCAGGTGGCCAGTGTCCGGATGAGGGGACCAGCCGGTCCAGCCCACCTTCCTTTCTCTTGCTGGCTTTCTCTGCTGTCCTTGCCACACACTTCCATACGCACTCAGCTATCTAGATTTTATTGTGAGATGCGTTTGTGTACGGGGTGTGTGTTGTCTCTCTAACCAAATTTCAAGCTCCTGAGGCATGCCTGCAGTTCATACCTCTTACCTGTCCTCTGCTGCATCAGGTGCTCACGTGGTGTCTGTTAGTTGCTCCCTCCTTTTTGCCCAGTTCTACACTAGACAAGTAGAAGCAGCCATGCTTTCCTCAAGCAAGAAACTGGAGTGTGAGCAGAGTTAGGGCAGAAGATCGGAGGAGGTACAGAGGAGTGCCTGGAACTGAAAGAAGGTAAATTCTTGACCGTGACATTAAACCACTTTACCACAAGTATCTGATGTTGGGACTGATTTTTCATACACACACACACACGTATAAATTAAAATAGGTCATGGTTTGGTTTGGCATCTGGTGTGTATTTCACATAAACTATTAGACTCTTGAGTTGTGCTTGTATGTATATGGCCACTAGACACATGGGGCTATTTAAATTATAAAAAATTCAGCTTTGCAGTCACAGTAGCTGTGTAATGGCTGTGACTACATTGGACACTACTCTGTACATACAGAATGCTTTCATTATTGCAGAAATTTCTGTTGGATAGTACTGTGTCAAGAGTGCTAATGTGAACATTTAGAAACCAGAATTAATAAATTCTCATGAGGTTAAAAGCAGATATGACTGTATCATCATACAAGTGATGATCAGTATTTTGGATGAGGAAAGAAAGTTGAGTATTTCTTATATCATCATACAAGTGATGATCAGTATTTTGGATGAGGAAAGAAAGTTGAGTATTTCTAGGATTCTGAGTTTTCTAAGTTCTTTATTATAGGCTCACACATATGCAGATAGGCTATAGACATGTATGTGCATATTAATTTAACCACTGGAGTTGTCTTTGAACAAAGGCATAGCTTTTACAAACCAGTGCTTGCACTATTAAGTCATTAAAAGGTATGGTTCTCTTAAAAACCGTAAGCAAAATTACAAAAAATTCTTTTAAATCTATTATAATAATGAAAATTGCCTGCCATCAGTGCTATCCCTCAAAAGTTTGGTTATATGGAAACAGCACATTTGCAGAGATTGTTCTATTGAATAGCAGTATATTTGTGGTAGGCAGAATTCTAACAACCCCCCATCCCTGCCAATGACCTTGTATAATATCTAACCCCTTTGAACATAGGTGGAACCTATATAATCCATGATTAGAACCATGTAATACAACAAAAGGAAGATTATGTTGGGGTGGCTAATTAAATCTTGTGAGCCCATTAAAAGCAGAGTTTTCTCAGGCTGGTAGCAGAAGTCAGAGACTAAGAAGCGGAAGGATTCAAGGTACCATTGCTATTTTAAGGTATTTAAAGAACTGAGAGGCAAAATGGGAACTGCAGTCTGACAGCCACAGGTACTGAATTCCACCCACAAGCTCATTCATGGGCTTGGAAATGCATTCATCTTCCAGTCTCCAGATAAGACTCAGCCTGGCTAGCTCGGTGATCCCAGCTCTGTGAGACCCTAAGCAGAGAACATAGTTAAGCCTGCTTGGACTACTGAACTACAGAACTGCAAGATAATGTGTTTAAGCTGAATTTGTGGCAGTTGTTACGCTGTGATAGAAAAGGAATGCAGTATTTAAGAGAGATCAGGAAGTCTTCATATTTGATTCCCTATAGTATGTTGGATAGTTCTTGATAAATGCACAAATAAAGTCTTTACTAGCAAATCATATACTTGGGCCTTATCTGGGATGTACTCTGCCAGAGATCTTAAATGGTCTTCACTCTTCCCTCCCTTCAGCCTTCAGTTCCCTCAAACTCAAAGTTTGTTGGCAAAGTTGCAGCATCTTATTAGCACTTTGTAAAGGAATTTAGAATGAAATTGTAGGGAAAGGACTGAAACAGTATACAAGAAATCTTACTGTTTTTCTGGAAGAGGTATTGCTTTATACCAATTTAGACTGCTCTGTCTGAGCAGCAGTGTTTTGAAGGATGAGAAACAATGGTATTTTAGATATGACATAAAGAAAAAATAACTTAGGCCTTTATGTAGACATCAGATATATCTACTCTGTGTTGACAATTTTTTTCTAAACCAAAACTTAGTTTATCATCTAGTACAGATCAGATTCTCTGTGGGCCAACTAAATTTTTGTTACTTTAAAAATGTTTTCCATGGGCACTGGCCCCATATACTGAGGGTGGTGGGTTCAAATCTGACCTTGGCCAAACTGCAACAAAAATAGCCAGGCGTTGTGGCAGGCGCTTGTAGTCTCAGCTACTCGGGAGGCTGAGGCAAGAGAATCACCTAAGCCCAGGAGTTGGAGGTTGCCGTGAGCTGTGATGCCACAGCACTCTACCAAGAGTGATAGAGTAAGACTCTGTCTCTAAAAAAAAAATGTTTTCCAAAATACTTCTCTGCTTATAAGCCATTAATTGCTAATGAAGTTTATTTTTATTTTGGTTTAGACATTAATTTTTGTGCTTATTTTTCTGTACTGCCAAGGCCTTGATGTAAGACAAGTAGAGCTAAAGGAAGGAAAATGAGGCTATGGACTATTAAAAGATGGGAAATTTGAGTCATAATCATATCTTAGTGTTACAAGAAAACTTAGCTATCCAATCCCTTTCCAAGCTAGATAGCAATATTTACAGTGTATAAAATCTAGTTTTTGATAGTTGTGAAATTTTAAATTATTAATCCTAGATATATGCTATAGTAAGTAGTATGCTTACTTTCTTTAATGCATGTTAACACACACTGCTAAGAAGACAGTATTATTTAAAAAGCAACCAAACTGAAGATTTTGTTACACTTCTTCATATCATCAATACCTACATATTAACTCTTCTTACTTGAAACACTTATGTCACCAGTTCAGGCACTAACTTGGTAATTTTCAAAGGAACAAACAGCAAGGAGTGAGCTGAGAATTTAGAAGACACTGTTCTAGAAAGTAAACTAGAAGTTGAAGGGAAGAACTTTGTGCAAAATATCATTCACACTGTTAACACTGAAGTAAAAATGTAAAATATAGTGGTGCTAAATTTGTTCTAAAATAAGGATTATCTGTTGTGGGGAATAATTTAATATTTTTGGACATTAGGGAGGCTATTTTCTGTATAGTGTACTCCTAGCTGTTTCACTGTATTAGTAATTAGCAAACTGTCGTGGAATCAAAGGTTTGGTACTTTAGCTTGACCAGCATTCCATTCTTTATTTGAAATGCTCAGTGTTTGCTCAAATTTGGTGAAAATATCTTTTGAAGACATATTCTCTGAGCCTTAAAAAATGGCTGATATCGACAGTACTGTAAGATGCACTGCCAGCAGATTTGATACTTTTCATTTCAGCATAGACAGTAACATTTTCTAAGAAAGATTGAGAAATCAGCTAAATGTAACAGTTGTGTTTCATTTATGGAATGAAAAAAATGAAAGCGTGTCTCATTCAGAACACTTTGGAAAGGTTGTCTTTGCATTTAGGGATTATTCTGGAAGCATCCCGTGGAGAAGCTGCCTGAGGAATCTCTGCCAGGCTGTACTAGATTATTTTGCTTCTTAAATGTATTGTACATATTTTCCTTAAAATGTCTTCATTAGTTGACTAGTTAATACTGTAGTAATATTTTAGGTACTTGTTGGATTTTTAAAGGAAGATTATTTATTTTCAGATTTGCTGCTATAATTGAAAACCTAATAAGTGGTCCTGTTGACTGTGCCTTTCATCACTGTTTCTCTGTGCCACAGCTGTTCACGTGTATTTGAAATAAAGAAGTTTAAAAAGCCATGTTGAATTCAAGATTCCTTCCAATAAAAATAGGTGAAACTTAATGAGTAGTTTTCTTATTTTGTTTAGTACTGATATAATAATGGTTTACATATTTTTAACATATTTTAATATCATATTTTAATAATGGCTTACATATATATATATTTTAAGTTAGAAAACTGATGTGGATTCTTTATTTGGGTTTTATAATGTCTTTAGAGAGAGACAAAAAAAAGCCTTGCTGGTAAGACTGATGAGGCCAGGTGTAGTGTCTCACACCCACAATCCTAATGCTCTGGGGAGCCAAAATGGGTGGATTGCTTGAGCTCAGGAGTTTGAGACCAGCCTGAGCAAGAGTGAGACACCCCTCACTCCCCATCTCTACTAAAACAGAAAAACAAGCTGGGTATGGTGGCGAGTGCCTGTAGGTCCCTGCTACTGGGGAGGCTGAAGTGACAGAATTGCTTGAGCCCAGGAGTTTGAGTGCTGTGAGCTATGAGGCCTTGGCACTCTCCCTAGGACAATGGAGTGAGACTCTGTCTCCAAAAAAAGAGATTGTGATTATGAATATTATACAGGTGTTTATTATATATATATATATATATATAATACAACACCCAATATAAGAGTACTCACAATGGGCCTCTTTAATCTATATTGGGATATTTGCTTTGAAAAATTATTTTTTTAACATAGAAAATGGTATTGATGTGGTATAGTGATTCTTGTTTGAGTGACATTACAGTTTAAAGAGGCTGGGATCATGTGGCCTATATATAACTCATGTTTAAAATACAGCTCAGTAGAAATAAGGTAGACAATGGAACCTGCCAGGAACAGTCAAGAGGAAGGTGGGGGCACATGGTTATTATCACATTCTCTAAATAGATGATACTCTCTCAAAAATAATTTATATTAATAGTTTGACATTTGTTTTCCCCATGCCCTCAGTAGTTAATGAATAAAGTGCATGCTTTAGTTTAAAAAATATTTATTATAGAAATGTACATTTAATTAGTTTTAAGGAATGTACTTGACAGTAATATTAACTATATTTCTTCAAATTTTAACTTTACATCTTTATGCTATTTACAAAAAGAGTTTATTTACAAGTTTTACAAGAAATCACTTTATCAATACTGTTGACACAGTTAAGATTAAATATCCTTACTTTTTCTTCTCACTTCACCCTGTACTTGTAGAAAGAACACAGAGCGTGGGTAAAGTTCCATCCCAGTGCTAGTGACAGCCCGTAGAGCAGAATGAGAGGTGCAAAAGGGTAAAGAAGAATTACTGTATTTTTCAAAAATGGCAGGGCTGGAAAAGAAACAAATACATGTTGATGTTTTTTAAAAAGCAAATATGACTAATGACATTTTCAAAGACAGCCCTTCAACATGTGGGGCCAAAACACACATTTTTGAGTCAGTAACATTTGCTGTTTATAGCTACAACTATACTAGTCTTCCCACTCTTCTCTGTTGCCTCTGTCTTGTTTGGTGCTAAGACAAGGCAAGTGATTATTCCAGCACACAGGCTGCATGGGTAGCACACTAGGACAGAGGTTAAAAGTGAGAGAGAAACCTCACAAATATTCATGAAAATTGGTGCATTTAAACCTGTGCCTGCTTCAGCATCCTCTAGGAGTCCATCTAAAGCACACAGACAGATGATACAAAAAAAAAAAATAACCCAAAAACAGGTTTTAGCTATTACGGATTTTCCAGTGTAAAAAGCATCACACTCCCATTTGCACTGTGTGAGCTCAACTGGTATTCTGAGCTTCAGGAAAACTAAAACTCAGGTCCACCCCCAGACATCGGTGTCTTATTCATTGCTTAGTTAGTGGGACCTACTCCATTCACTCTGACTTAAATATTTCTCATATAGAAGTTCTTAAGCAGAAATTGAGCTATACCAAAGAAAATGTTGTATGTGGTAGGGAGTTACCAGGGGAGTGTTCAACCATGCACTCAGAGAAACCAGTGTTGGAACGTTCAAAACACAAAACACATGAAAAGTTGTTAGAAATCTGAAGGTAAATATCATAGACATCTCCCCTGGTCTAGAGAAAGGACCCCCAATACTCAAATCAAGGCCTTACAACGGGGGGTTAAGTGGTCCCTGACAAACCAGCCATGATGGTGGGGGTGGGGACAATGCTGACTAGAAGAACCAGTCATATAAATAAGAGCTCTCTGTGCCCACCATAAGGACCTAATCTTCCAGAGAAAAAGGAAGGAAGGAAAGCCTAAAATTTATATATACACAAACATATACAGTGCACATATATAGTGCTAACAAAGTCTCCAGATTTTATCTGATCATTTTTTTAACATAAATGAAAAAAATTCATAGATGAATTGACAACAGGGTTTTAGAGTAAATTTCCAAGTATGTGCTGGGGACAGTAACGTTGGGCCTGATGTGTATTCATCTACAGAACTAAACAGTGATCATAAAAACTAAAAATGAGGCAAAAACATGACTTAAGAAGTTTTTGAACTTCAGGTCACATACCTAGGTGACCATATGGCCGCCTATCCCTCTCTCTCTCTATCTACCCTTACTGTGGTAACCCCACATATGGCCGCCTAACC